CTCTTATGTATAGTCTACAATAAAAGATATAACTACAAATATTATTTAAATATCTCTTATATTCGTATTAGACGAGTAATTGAGACTGAGATTAAATTTAATTAATCAGAAGAAATAAAATATCCGATTTAGTGAACTTTGCTTTGATTTGTTAAATTTAATGTCAATCTCGAACCTATAATAATATATTTAGTCTGGTACAAATATTAAGCTATAGTATATGCATTATAGCTTGAAAAATATTTTTTTTTACATTTTAATTAAAATGTTTTGCATCACTTTGATTTCTTACGTACCGAACGCAATAACGGCAAGTTTACGTGAAAACATCCGCCAGCGGAAAACTTGAGCTTTCGGTTTAAAAATTCCAATAAATATTCGACGTAGTCCTGCATTCAAAGAAAAGTTTTTATGCAGATTGCAGTCATATCAAAATGATTGCTGTATGTACATAAATACAATAAAAATAAAGTCTCAAAAGAAATTTTATGAAAATAGATGGAATCGTTAGAACAAAGAAAAATTTCATTTGTTGAACAAAAGATTAAATTTGATATCTATTGAAGAAAATGTATAAATAAAAGAATGGAATATGTCAAACAATTTGTCTACTTACTTCATTTTCTTTTTTCATCAGTCTTACTTGCCATTCGATCAGAATTGGACCTAGGCAATTGGCCTGAAACAAATCACGTTCTCAAATTCTCTATTAAAAATATATTTTATTTCCATTTAAACATTACTTTTTAGATTTAAAAAATATATCTATTTATATCTATTTATAATATTTGCATACACATCGGTCATTATTTCATGCAGAATTGTCCAAAGTTTGCACGTGTGATTCTCATCACATTCTTGCATTGTCATCTTGACATTCTTTATTATCTAAGTATAAAAGGATATTTTACTGCATCTGCAGAAAAGTTTTACTTGGGACGAAGCGAAGTGACAAGCGATAAGAAGTAGTAACAGCTGGAAGAGAAATGCCAGTAACCAAGTGCACATGCAGAGGACTAGCGGCCATGATTGCACATCCCACTTCTTCACAATCATCCATTCGATTATAAAATATACGTTGCTGACGATGTGCAGGCACAAATTGCAAAGCCAGAAGAGCAATGACAACGAATACAGCGACTCTAAACTTTCGGCGGCGACCATCAAATCGTTATGTAGACTCAGGATTGTCTTTTACAAACAAATAAAACTGTCATAATTTGTTTACTATCAACTAACACTGATATAAAAATCTATTATTTAAGCATCTAGTTTTTAATTTAAATGAAATAAATTTTATATATGTATGTATATATCTATAAAATTCTGCACTATATTTTATTATTTTTATATTATATTGTATCATAATTATGCTATTTTTTAAGAAAATTAAATGAAACCTTCTTGCTAATGATTGTTTTAGTGTATCCCGATATCGATGGTAGATTTTGTATTGCAACGGAATTAAGATGACCAAACCGCTGACCTAGAAAAATAGTTATCGCCACGAACTTGTAGATAGCTATCGACGTACCAATGTAGGGAATCATGTATTTCATATTACTAGTCCATGTTTCTAAAAAGGCGTACATTCCGATACGATTAACAATTATCCAGATAATCGTGATCATAATTACAAGGAACCACGCAATAATCGTAGTCCTTGTCTCTTTGCGAGGATAACTTAAACGTCTCATATTCTCATCGAAATCTTGCAACGCATTCCAAATCCTGATAAAACTGCGTCTCGTGAATGCCGTTAAACCCAACTCATACATCACTACGCTGTAGTTGATGATCACCTAAACAATTTATTTTCTCATCATCAATCATTGCCTTCATGTTTCATTAATTTAGAAATTTAAAGTTATTGGCCAAAGACTTTAGGCTCATTGCGCCATAGAAAAAGAAAAAGAAGAAAATTTAAGTACTAATTAGATTTGTTGGAAGATCAAATTAATGATAAATTTAATATACAAACAGATTTTCTAGCCTCAAAGGATTTAAATAAATAAATTTTTTATTTACATCTATGATAATATATATATGTCAAAAAATTAAGTGTACATTCCTATAGCAAATAATCTTTTACTCTATCTCAACTAATTTCTACTGACCTTTGTATTCTCTGTTCCTCCAATGGTCAAGGTTTCTCTTTTGACATTTAGAAACTTGGTAAATACCTCGTATGATAAACAACTGTAAACAATAGCGACGATCACCGTGAAGAGTAGACTGATATTCGATGATGTCCATCGATATTGTGAGAAGTTGTAAGGAGCGAAACCGAATATTCGCATGGTGTATATCATTGGCCAAATGACCTTATAAAGAGATGAATTTGGATAGCGCCTCTTCTTGATTCGGTTCCTTTTCACCTTGGTGAATAGAGTTGTCACATTAAAAGGAATAGCTTGTAACTCCATGTCAAAGAAGAATAAAATCGAACGATGCCTTTAAATTAATGAAATCTAGCAAACATGAGTTCCTCGCGATCTTCACAATGAGGTGAAACTTGCATCTGTCTAGAGCATAGATAATTATCAATTACAACACAGTCATTTGCGTTTGAAAAATTTAAATACAATCGAAGACAGAGATATACTTTATAAATGGATGTGTGTGTGAATGGTTGATTATTAACTTTACCGATCTGTTCAAATTTATTATACGATCATATAGTTCGAATTAATGTGATTAAAAAAATAAAAAATTTTGACAGAAAAAAATTCTTTTTAATAAACGTTATCAAAGAACTATTTTTTTAAAATATGATAAATTACATTTCGGGTCAAATAAATCCGATAACAGATTAGGATTAAATTAATACGATAATGTACAATCAATGAAAAAATAATAAGTAATATATAATAAATTGCAGTAGAAAAAATAAATAAACATGAAAAATATTGTAAAAATGTGAATTTGTATAGTACTTAATTAAAATAAAATTTTACAAATAACCATAATTTTTTAAGCATGAATACATTAGAAACAAAAATCTAAAATCTCTGTGAATTATTCAGATTGTGTTCCATTTTCTCATCATAAAAATTTTTCTGTAATGTTTGTATTCGTACATACAGATTTTTTAAAATTAATTATTTGTTAAAGTCGATTAGTATGATGAACGCGGCACGAAAGCAAAGTTTACAATCGTAGGAAAGTAGATAATGTAGCTTCCAATCAGTCCATCTTCAATTTCGTGAGTAAATATTGAATCAGTGAAATCGTGAAAAGTCTGTTCGCTTTTGCCTAGTGTCCCGGAAATTACCACGTTCATCGATCAATTGCATTGTCCTAGAAAACATAACGTCCAAAGACAACGATGAAGCCATGATAAATAAAGCTAGAAAGAAAGTAAGATGAATATAGAACTGCAGAATAGATAAAGAATTACGAAAAAACGGCATAAATCCTAAATGCAGGAAGAAGACAACTTTATTCTTCTCTAACTGCAGTTTCTCTTAAAACGTCACAGTCAATCGAACGCGATAAAATCAACTAGTCGTTCGAAAATTCTGAGCATCTCTTGCTTTTTATTCTGAAAGTTAAGCGAATTTTAACATGGCCCTTGGGCTATCCTAGAGCTGTCGCAAAATTCAAACTTTTTCTGCAAATTTGATGGTAACTTTCTATTGACGTTATAAATCCCAAAAAATGTATAACTCAAGAGAGAAATATGGAGGAAGAGTGAAAATAAAAAGATTTATATACAATAATCTCGAAAACAATAAATGTTCACAAAAAATTCAGTCGTCCGAAAATAGACGGTCGTTTTGCTGAGTGTCTAATATATTTACTGAGATTTGTTCTTTAAATTGTAACAGTGTTTGTCGTAATTCATTACATCACATAAATTGTAAACTTTTTAAAACATTTCAGCCGTATGTACTTACATGACAGGCCGAGTCCTCGTAGTGCATCGATTATTCCGAATGACGTTGTGAGGACTACGAGGATTCAATGTTTCATGGCACTCTTGTCGCGCATGATAATGTGGGATTAGAACCATTCGCGTAAACATATCCGTTAGACGGACACACAAACACATTATACACGCTCGAATACTACCGTTAAATATTATTCCACGTCGTCCTCGAATGAATAATTGAAGAGCAGAGAAGAATAACAGGTGGAGACAACCGGTCGAAGCGGAGATAGATACAATCGTATTGCACAAAGAGCTAACCTGTTTGCATTCTATGTTGCGTCGTGGTACTGATTTTATTATATGGACGGCCCATTTCTTCCCGATTCTCATGATACTTTTGTAAAATGTAGAAAATATGAATATATATATTTATTTTTTAAGATAAAATATGAATAAATATATATATTTATGTATCCTCCATCAACAATTTATATCAATATTTATGATGAAAACAATGTAAAAATAAATAAATCTCTCTAGAACAGATACAAGTAACAATTTTGGAAAATTACATGTGTTTATTGTTTCAACAATAACGATAGAAATAAAATATAAAATTATAAGTAAAATTTAAAATAAATCAAATAAAAAAGATTTCCTATTTTTGATCAAAACAGATCTTGGTAATATTCTTAACATTTAAATTAAAACTTTTGTCAAATTAAATTAATAAACTATAAATCTAAAAAAATTACTACATAAGTCAAGAGAAATTTTCAAGCATCGCTGCCTCGGTATGATGTCCTTCTGCACGTGAATGTAAATTAAGACTATTCTTTTGCATGTGTGCCATTTCCGAAATCAATCTTTCATTCAAAAATTTCTCCTTATCTAAAATTTGGATGTTCTTCCAATCAAAGTCATGTGAAAATTCAATATGATATTCAGTTTACAGAGTGAGTGTTCAGTGTTCCAATTTATATCTATGAATTTATATCTACGATGTTCAGATATTCTGCTGGAAAGTTTCCTACATGTTTGTCCCACATAAGATGCATCGCAATCTTTACAACAAATCTTATAGACTATATTTTTATTATCAAATTTTGGGAGAGCGTCCTTTTGTACTTTTATAAATCTATTTAATTTGTTATCGCTGAAAAACGCTAATTTTATGTTGGTGTCTTTGTCACAAATCGACGAAAATTTCTCTGATATAGAATCAATATATGGTAACAGAAATCAAGATATACGATCACTAACGTCATTTGGAATATTATTACTAAAAAATTTTTTGTTAAATCAATATTTTAGACGACTATTGATCGTGTCAAAAACAAATTCTACCGGATAGTCATTATTTAGTAATGTACAAATAATGAACTTAATATTGCTATAGTGAAATTTTGGATCTGAGAGTAACACAGCTCTCTGTTCAACATATCCATTATGATCCATTATCTTTTTTATGAGAAATAGGATGTGACGATAAATAGTTCAAATCCTGAGAATGTTGGTTTGTGATATTATTTAATTCTAAATATTGTTATTAATAATGTTTACATCTGAGAAATTAAACTATTGCCTCCTATTTCCAAGGTGAATTGCAATCTCGAATGGAATGAATTAAAGGTTGTCAAAATAAAATCAATCAGACGGGCCATCACGATATCATCAACATATCTGAAGTAAAAGCAATTGAAAACCTAACATTGCTATTACTTTAATAATTTCTCTAAGTCTTGCATGATTAAATCTGCTATAATAGGAGACAAGAATGTTCCCATTGGTGTGTTAAATTTTTGTTTGTATATCTCACCATTAAAAATGAAATACCATTAAAATTGAGTTAAGTACTAATTCTAAAAATATAAAAAATTCTTTTTCCGGAATAGTTGATTTTTTTATATAATTCCATCTCATTCTCAATCGCCAAATTTAATGGAATGTTAATAAATAGAGAGATGACGTCAAGAGAAATTAAAGAATAATTAGTTTCCAACCGCTCTCTTAACTTCTGTGCAAGATGAAAACTGTTTTCGATTTTACTGAAAGATTTAGGGGATTTTTCAGAAATAATGTCGTGTAAAAATGAAGCCAAAGAATATAGAGGACTGTCAATTGAAAATATTATGATCTAAAGAGACAATTAGGTTTATGCACTTTTGGAAGTGCATATGCACGAGAGTTACTTTCATTACATATTTTTTTGTATTATTGAAATACTATTTGAAATGTAATTTTTATTTTTTCAATATGTGGTAATAGTGGACTTTTTTGTGAGAATATTGATAGGGTTTTTTATGACTTTGGTATAAATGTCCGAATCATCAAATTTTTTTGATTTTCGAAATGTAAGTCTTTTTGTTTAGAGCCATTATTTAAAATCATAGTGATATTTCTCTTATCTGCCTTCGTGAAAATAATGTCTGAATTATTAGTGAAAAATTGTTTTGTGTACTAGTTGAATTAATCGTTTACAGATTATTTTGAATAAAGGACGATAAATAATTTTTCAATATAAGTACAATTCCTTAAATAATAATACTTAAAATATTATTAGGTTTAATGTTTTTAAAACTATTTTCTATATTTTTAATAAATTATAATAATGTTCTTTTTTTATTAAACGAAGGTAATACGAAATTTTCCCCTAATTGTAACAGATATTGAATTTTTTTAGGAATTGTAAAGCCAGATAAATTTGAACTAATGTTTTAATGTTAAAAAATGAAGACTTTGATGTTGTTTCAATAAATTCAATAGAATCTATTTTAATGTTAAAATGATTGGAACGACAAGAATTACTCCACTGTAGACAGACAACTAATATTGAGTATCTTGGAAATCCGAAGCACTAATACCAATCTGATTCGGCTGATTATTCAATACATGATAATAAATCGGAGATGTATCATTATAAATTCTTCTTTTATTCTTTTACAACATTCATTTTATTTTTCTCAAGAGAATGATTTCCTCCTTCCTCATATAAGATTGAAAGGTGTAATATTTTAGGCTATAATAGGAGATTTAGTCATGCAAGACTCAGAGATTAAAGCAATAGCAATGTTAGGCTTTCAATTGCTCTTTTATTTCAGATATGTTGATGATATCGTGATGGTTATCCCTTCTGATATGATTGATTTTATTTTGACAATCTTTAATTTATTTCATCCAAGATTGCAATTCGCCTTGGAAATAGGAGGCAATAATATTAATTTCTTAGATGTAATCATTATTAACAACAATAACTGTTTAGAGTTAGATTGCATCACAAATCAACATTCTCAGGACGATACTTGAACTATTTATCGTCACATCCTATTTCTCATAAAAAAGATATCATAATGGGTATGTTGGACAGAGCTATGTTACTTTCGGATTCAAAAATTTCACTATAACAATATTAAGTTCATTATTTGTATATTACTAAATAATGACTATCCGGCAGAATTTATTTTTGATATAATCAATAGTCGTCTAAAATATTGTTTAACAAAAAATTTTTTAGTAATAATGTCCTAAACGACGATACGGTTAATGATCGTG